ACGGCAAGTACGGAGATGACTGTCTTTTGGAAGGTTTTATCGTGTTCCTGACTCCTCAGAACGATCGCCGCCCTAACGATGAAGTCAGTAAGCACCTCCAAAACGTCGGTAACCTTTCACAGGACTACGCGCTCCAACATCCCAGACGACAGCCGTCATCAGGACTACAATCCATTACTTTACAAACATACAGGTGTCGTTTCGTAAGCCAAAAAATTTCCGTCAGGAAACTTAATGTCTACGACCTGGGTGACCGAATTTGATTCCAGGCAAGGACGGGCAGGGAATCTCTCATGGGAATCGCTGAGTCCAGACCGACCACGAAGTCCACCTGGTCCTCCAACGCGACATACACCCGGGGTCATAACGGCCAGACAGTGAACGTGTTTGGTTACTCAACTCGTTCCATCATCGGCAGACAAACGAAGCAAGAACTCTGACCTTCACGAAACACGGGGTGGGTAGTACACAGAAGAAAGTAATTGCATGAGATCGGTTGTACGTAATAACTTTCTTGCTGATCAACACACAGGAGAAACCACTGTTGTTCAGTCTCCATCACCTCATCAGAAAAGGAGAATGTTTTGTTCCTCTGGTGATCGCACCGTCGACGAAAAAGGAAAACACGATTTTGGGTACATCACGGCAAAACCGCGAGTTCATCGCACATTGCACTCATGCTGCTGAATGTACAGATGATAAAAAACTACAATTTTTCTACAGAATACGCCAATCCTCTTCCAGGACTTCATGCCTCTATTTACGCCGAAGTTGACGAAACAGGGCACCAGTTAGCTCAAAAGCGAGGCAGGAACCGTGAAGCTGGTCATCGCCCTGATGATGGAGGCATCAAGGACCTCTGAAACGTAGGTAAACTTCTACCAGACTACACGGCGCAACAACCCAGAAGACAACCATCTTCAGACTCACCGCCGTGAAAACCTCAAAACCGTGAAAACGTTCGGTTCAGTTTAATGATACAGCAGGTGCGCAAGAATCACTTCATTTGTCTCTGTGTGACCTCCGATTTAAAACAACGGCATTTTTAGGTGAAAACATAGTTTCTATTCATTTAGCTTGTTTCCTCTGTGTACCACCAGCCTTAAAAGTCAAGTATCTTGCTTCGCCTATACTAAAAAGTATTACAATGCGTGTGCTGACAAGAACTAACCAATCGATTCTATCGTGAACTAGACAAATTCAGTTCATACCCTCACGTCCTGTTTATTTACGACAATTATTATTATTATTATTATTATTATCATCATCATCATCATCCCATCTACGCCTAAGTCTTCCAACTGTTCGTTTTCCTTCAGTTTTTTTATACATGCATTTCTCATCTACCCATTTCATCCTAATAATATTCGACGTTACAAATTACGAAGTCCTCATTTTGCAATTTTGTAATTTCTTGCAGCCCACTAAATTTTCTCTCTCTTAGGTCCAAATAACTTTCATTCCTGGTAAAACTTTGCACTTCTACCATTGTAATGTTATATGAAGAACGCCAAATATTTTCTTTTTGTAACTAAATCTGGCTACAATGCGTTTCATGTCATTTCGTGAGTATACAGAACCCCTGAAATCCACGCAAAATACTTGAACACTGCTCCAGTCACAATGCAGACTTTATAATAGATCTAATTTCCTGTAGAGACTAATGACATTCAAATAGTCTATTGTAGTGTTTAAATCAAACAAGACCAGAAGGACGAAGCAAGCACAAAGCCTAATGCAAGGAGGAAATAAGAATACATACAGCATTTTCATCGGAAAATTTGAAACGAGGAAACAACATAGAAAGCAGAGTCGTATTTACCGGTACTCGGTGCGAAGAATTTGACTCGGTTTACCTGAGAAAAAATATAAACCCTTTTACGTCAACCCAACAAGACGCTCACTTAATTCTGTGGATTTTTCCGGTTTCAACACGAGATTAGGCTTCAGTTCTACAAAATAAAAGTAGGAAATTTCTCACTAGATGAAAACTCAAAAAACATTTTGAACCGTGGAGTTGGTCAGTTGATGTAGCATTTATAAGTAAAAAAATTTACATAGAAATTAAGTTTCTCATGGCGATGGATATGTTAATGTTAACCTTACGGCTTGTAACACCTTATGTACTTCTAGGAATGCACCAGCGTTTCACAGGAAAATACTGTCTCCATCTTCAACAATGAAAATTGGGGCATTTCTGAAGATGGAGGAAGTATACTCCTTCGAAATTTCATCTACCGACAAGTTCATACCACGTTACTAGATATAAGACCAACATCGTTAAATTAATCGGCATTTCGGGTATTTTTGTCAACATCTTACTGCTACATCATTTAGCCACAATAAATTATTTTACGGCACTTAGTAAGAGGCTGTTAGAATGGTAAAAATTATTAACAGAATATGACACCTTCTGAGATTTTAATATCTACGCATTCCTAGTATGGTATTCGGCCGTTATGCTTAGTTTTCAGTTTCATCTACAGGAAGCTTCCAGCCACAAACATGAAATGCCCAGGAAGTAAAGTACATTTCGTGACAATGCCAGCCTGGCTATGAAGTTTCGGATCTAGTATTAAAACCACACAGATCGATTAGGTAGTTCACATAAAATAACAAAGAACGCAGGACGTAAAAGCAAGGTCCAATCATCTGATATTTGATTGACTGGAAACCAGCTGGTGGCCTCGACAGCAAATATTGTTCTTCTTCCGCAACAAAGGGATAAACCGGTTCAATATACACTTGCCCCAGTGTCAGGCACCTAACCACAAAAGTTGGCTCAGGTCTCTCCAATAGCCGGCATACGTCGGCGCCCAACAACCACCGAGCCATTTCGCTGTTCCTAACGCGTCCCGCTGCTAATCAAGTTCGTCCGGTGACGTACGACCTTCACCGTCTTCCACTCCAACCCATTGCTGAGATCTTGTCATAAAACAGGTGGCTGTCTTTTCAAATATTTCCACACTCGGAAGGTCATTACCACGTTAAAAATACCATCTCTGGTCCCTTCCCTTAAAATACCGATCTCTCCAAATGACGGAAATAAGCAGACTCCATAATCTCAAGTCTTAATTATGTATGATTTGAGGTTTTCACAGTGAGTATGAAGATTTCTGTCTTCTGGGTTGTTACGCTGTGTAGTCTGGTCGATGTTAACCAACGTTTCGGAGGTCATACTGCCTCTGAAACGTAGGTAAACTTCTACCAGACTACACGGCGCAACAACCCAGAAGACAGAAATCTTCATGCTCACTGCCCTGATGACGGAGGTAAGTATGACCTCTGAAACGTTGGTAAACATCGACCAGACTACACAGCGTAACAACCCAGAAGACAGAAATCTTCATGCTCACTGCCCTGATGACGGAGGTAAGTATGACCTCTGAAACGTTGGTAAACATCGACCAGACTACACAGCGTAACAACCCAGAAGACAGAAATCTTCATGCTCACTGCCCTGATGACGGAGGTAAGTATGACCTCTGAAACGTTGGTAAACATCGACCAGACTACACAGCGTAACAACCCAGAAGACAGAAATCTTCATGCTCACTGCCCTGATGACGGAGGTAAGTATGACCTCTGAAACGTTGGTAAACATCGACCAGACTACACAGCGTAACAACCCAGAAGACAGAAATCTTCATGCTCACTGCCCTGATGACGGAGGTAAGTATGACCTCTGAAACGTTGGTAAACATCGACCAGACTACACAGCGTAACAACCCAGAAGACAGAAATCTTCATGCTCACTGCCCTGATGACGGAGGTAAGTATGACCTCTGAAACGTTGGTAAACATCGACCAGACTACACAGCGTAACAACCCAGAAGACAGAAATCTTCATGCTCACTGCCCTGATGACGGAGGTAAGTATGACCTCTGAAACGTTGGTAAACATCGACCAGACTACACAGCGTAACAACCCAGAAGACAGAAATCTTCATGCTCACTGCCCTGATGACGGAGGTAAGTATGACCTCTGAAACGTTGGTAAACATCGACCAGACTACACAGCGCAACAACCCCGAAGACACTAATCTCTAGTCTTAATTGTTTGTACGTTACCGGTTAGAACGCTGGTCTTGTAATACTGGGGTCTCGGGTTCTATTCCCGGCTGTGCCTGAATTTATAACTTGTGTTGGGCAAGGCCCTGGTCTAGGCAACACGGAGTTTTCCTCCGGGGGCTTCCCAGGTTTCTCCGTGGCATCCCAACAATTACTCCACTCACACACAGAAGAAGGCAATGGCAAACCACTTCTGGATCATCTGCCAAGAACGTATATGAACAGGTCCCAGTCCGAGAAAAGGATGGAAGGATCCTGTTCATATGGACCTGTCGTCAGACAGAACACTAAATAATAATAATAATAATGATTTCCTCATACTTCAATTATTCTTATGTAAGTCCGAGCTTCAACTTCCTTCTGGTTCCAATATATACGCTACTGAAATTTTCTTCTCTTCGCAGCTAAAAGGTGAGGAAGTGGAAGAATGGTGGACGAAGAAGAGGAAGCCGGATGGCTTATCAATTGCAAACCAACGTCCTCCACAAATAGGGAAAAGACTGTTCGTGTTATGCGTCCGGAATGACTCACTGTGTGCACACGCTTGCGTTATAACGTGCTGTTACACGTTCCTGAGCAATGCAGTAGAGGGACTCGTGCATAAAGTGCAGGAAGCCACGCGTGACCTTCCCTAACTGAACACAGCGCGTAACACCTCGATCACAGAAAATGCCTGACAGAGTTCAGCCTCTAGCGCTGTCACGCGTTATGCCGTCTGCAATTTTGCTATCCCAGTGACAGCAATTTAAATTCATCTTTAAACAGATACCCACAGGAGCTGGGGTAAATCTTTTTAAGCTTGTCCTAGAAAGATCGAAAGTGGGGTGGCAGGTGATAAGAAAAGATTCTACTACTCTTTACAAAACCCTGGATCCTCCAATCAGTCATGTACCAATATCGTGCTGTTTCAATTCGAGCAAAAAAACAGGTTTAAAAATATTAAAACGATATAATTGAATGCTGGAATCTGTGGACAGACACGATACTTTCAACAGACAGGTGTCTTCTGCCTGTACCGCCTTGCAGTCGGGCTGACGTTTATCAGCGTTTCTGAGATACTTGGTCCTCCATCATCAGGGAAATGAGTCGCCATCTTTGAACTCACCGCCGTCCCACCTAGCTCGTACTCACTGATTTCACCATCCACATAATGTTCAATGAATAGTACAAATTGAAGTCATTATCCAAATCCCTCCATCTTCCTGTTTCTTCCTCTCTCTCTCTCTCGTGCACAGATAATTCCCTCAGCATTTCATTGTCATATGTTGTTTTGCAAGTCTTCTAATTCTATACTAATCAGTTTCATACGCGATTCCATACAACGTCGCTTTAGAATTCTCATTTATATGCACGTTTTATAAACACAGTAACTGAACTTTAAATTCACACGTTTTAAGCTTAGTTTCACCACGTCTGTCCTTTCGTAACACCAATTACGTGAAAGATTCGGATGAAACTCTACGGTAAACCTCCAATAAACGCATGATCTGAAGCCTTCACAGCAATTAAGTATAATGCATTCTTCTCAGTCTCCAAGCCGTGTCAGGTGGTTTAATGGAGAAAACACCAGCGTTTCGAGAACCATCTTCGTCCTCGTCCTCAGGTTACGGAAGTTCATAACTTTTTGGTACCTGCAATAATTCTCTGAGCAATACAAACACTAAATTATACTGCAACATCGATTACGGCTATAAAAATATTAATCCCTTGAAGCCGAAGCTCATCTAAATATTAGTTACGATTTCAGTCCGTACCGCTAAGAAAACAACGCTTCACCACTACAAAGAGCAACTAATTAATGCTGTTTAAGGCAATAATTGCTCTGTGTGGGAATCATACAGAACTTATGCAAAATTCAGAATTACTTATTGTTAAAGCAGGTGGTACATATAGTTGCCATTCGGCTTTAAAAAGTTAAAAGAAGAGGACACGAAAATTAAGTAGAACTGCTGAAATGAAACCAGTTCATTTCTAGGGTTTAAGCACCATATACCGCGGTTTAAGGTACACGAAGTTCTAAGTCTCGAGTTCCAGCTCGCTTGGTGCATGTCTGTTTTCTGCGCTATGATAGCAGACTAATCATGGATCCATAACGCGTATCGAAAAGTAATAAAAAGTTATTAATTACAGGAGAAACAGGGATGTTCGTAGAACATACGAACCACATAAGGAACAAATTCTTTCCCAAGCACGGATACTCTACGAAAACGACAATCAATCCAAGGAAATGGTAGTTAAATTCCGTGGTCTACCACTCACCATACGTAACGTGTCTTCTTAGCACGAATATTTCCTTAAGAGAAGCACTTACCTGAAACAAAACAAAAGTTTCCTTCAGTAAAATGACAACACTATATTTTAACGTACAAAGACAGACACAGGCCTGCACTTTACAGTAAACAGCATACCAAATTCGGGGACCATCTACACGCAAAGAAAATCATAATTTCAATATAACATTATATCAAGTTTGTTTATTTGTTTAAATCTTGTCAGTCTAATCACAATAAAATTCTATTAAATATTAAAATATTACTAAAATTAACATTTAAATATTTAAAATGATGTTCTCTATCGAAATGTTCGATTTACATTAGATCATCACTTTTTACACGACAT